GCACACGACGTACTTGCACTTCTCCTTGTGCTCAATGAGCGTCTCGCACGTGGGGCAGGCCCTGATGGACGGACAGCCTTGGATCTCGCTGCCCGGGAGATCCTTGGTGACACAGGAGGCCAGGGTGTCCCGGCTTGGATCCTTGCAGCCCACATTGTCACAGCGGTCAGAGGGCTTGCCCGTCCCCTTCCAGGCCCGCAGGCACTGCCAGCAGAACTCGTAGTTGGTGCAGATTATGCAGAACACGCGGATGGTGGTCAGATCCTTCCTCTCCACCCACCTGGGGCACTGTGGGAGGAGGGAGGGCAGGGGTCACTCTCAGGGACCACAGGACGCGATGTCCATCCCCGAGCAGGGCAGTTAGGAGGCTGTGGGAGGCTAGGTCCCTTCTCTGGGTCCCACATGCCAGGGTTGGAACCCACCCTGTGCCCAGGACAGAGCCCACAGGTTGAGTCCTGTGGACCACCAAACTACTCTGCTGGGCACAGCTCACCCACCTCTTTAAAGTCGCAGTAGAGTTCGGCTGCCGTCAGGGCCAGTCTCTGCTCAAGCTCACAGGTCAGAGCTGCACAGTGACACACTTCCTCATAGGACCGCTCGGCCCTGCACTTCCTCTCACTCACTGGCCGGGCAGCACAGCTTGAAATGGCCCTGGGAGGAAGGCAGGGGCTGGACTGTCCACTGAGCCCTGGAGGCCAGCCTTGCCCCGTCCTCTAATCCTGCCTACACTCGTGCCATGTGTTCATGGTCATTCTTACTCCCTGTTCCTGTGTCCTCGTCAGGCCCTGCCCGCAGCCATCAGCCTTCCCCCGGGTTCTCGGGTGCAGCAGGAGTCTCCACGGAACCCTAAGTCACTGTCACGGGAACCCGCAGCACACTGACTTCACTCACAAGGATAGAGAGAGGGCACCAGCCTGAGCCCGGGTTGCTGCAGCCCCGCCTGACAGCCCCACCCAGCTCCCCTGTGGAGCTGTAGCTTCCTCTCCGAGGTGGAATTCTGCCTCCTGCAGCCTAGTCATGGCTGCAGCCTCATGGCCCACCTGGTCTATCAATGTCCAGCACCAAGTCATCACGGTCCTCGGTCCCTGGCGTGGTCACAGCTCTTCTCCACCCGCTGCTGTCCATCATACTCGTCCCCTATCAGGAGGAAGGACATGTCAAGAGTTCCCCGCCATGGCCCTGTGCTCAGCCCTCTGTATCCACAGGACACATGGAACACAGAGGCCGCTGAGGACAGCTGCTTGTCCAGCTGTGCACAGCTGCACTCACCCGTTATGTCATCTTTGAGCTGCACCAGCTTGAGCAGAAACCGCTGTTGGAATCCCTCCCATCCCATCCCTGCTCATCCTGGGCACAGGCTCTCTGGGCTGTGTCCCTCCTGTGACCTGTCCAGGTGGCAGGAAAGTGCAAGGTTGCGGGGTAATGGCAGAACAGCTCTGCCCCACCCCACGCCCAGCTCTCCTGAGCTGCCCTGTGCTGCAGCCCTGCCACCCTCTCCCTGGGTCCTCGTCCTCCTCCCTGCCCCACATCTCTGCTCCTACTATCCCACCACTTTAGGTTGGTTTGGCACTCATCTCTGCCCTATGGTCCAGCTGGCATGTCCCCAGGCAGGTGCCCTCAGACCTGCTGTTCTCCCTGCCCCATTGCCATACCCCAGCGTCAGCACCTGCGTGCCTGAGCCATGGACTCCAAGTCCTGCCGCAGATGTGCTCACCTGCAATCCATTTTTATTGACTTGCGTGTGAGCATTCAGGTGCATCACGTTTCGTTCACATACACTGCTTCACACAACCTTCACACACGTTATGTTTTATACCGCTAATTACCGTTAACGACCGTCGTACACCTTTTACCAATCCATCTCATGACCAGCCTGTGGCAAATGCAACCGTTCAAGTCACTTAGATAGACAGCTACAGTTACATCACTAAGATAACTACTGAAAGACTAACAGCCCAAGGTACTCCTTATTCTCCACTCCAGAGTTCGTTCCAGTGAGTCTAACCTGTCATAGAAGAGTTCTCATCCGTGGATCTCCTGCAGCCCCTCCAACTCTGGGTTCCTCCTATTCATCTCTGGGCCTCTCGCCCCCCAGCTGTGTTCATCCTTATCCCCAGACCTAATTGAAGTGGTTCCAGTGACTTTCCATCAACAGGAAGAAAAGATCCATGTGTGTCTGAGCCTGACCTGTGTTCAGTCTGGATGAGGTGACCACACACAAGCTGGCCTTCCCCCCACACCCCACCAGTCTCCTTCAGTCGATATCTGCTCAGGCTCTTGGAGCATCAAACTGACAGATGAAGGAGTGCGATAAATATGTCTGGTCTGATATGTTGACATTAACTTGGATCAACTTTTTTGCACTTTTGTGTTAGAAGAACCTTAATTCATAGGTGGGACCTGAACAAATAAAAGAGAAAGACACCTTTTCTTAGTATATTCTAAAGCACAAAACCCAGGTTCACTGGGATTGAGTAGATTCCACCAGGGCTTCGACTGTAAATCTTTTATTTATTTTTTTATACATATGGGCCATTTTTTGCTCTTTATTGTGAAAATAAAAGTGATGAGATACAGACCCTCCCATTTTACCAAACCAGGCACTTAGACTTGTGCCGAGAATCTTTCTTCCTATTTACTTTACAGTGTAGTAATGAAGAGTGTTGAGAATCTCATGGACTGAAAAGAGCAAATAAATCTGTCTGGAAGAAGTCAAGCTGCGTATGCTCTAGAGGAAAGGATGTGAAGCCTCATTTCACATACTTTGAGCAAATTGTCAGGAGGGCCAGTCCTTGGCAAATATATTACGGAGGAAGAGTTAGAAGGGCATCAGACACGGATTGACACAGTGACTGCCACAGTAGACTTGGAAATGGTGGAGCTGTGAGGATGGCAGGAACGGGCCCAGGTTTGCTGTTCACAGAGCTGCTGAGCCAGACTCCACGCAGCGACATCCAGCAACTTCCACATCCACCCGGTGGGGCTAATCCAGCTGGTCCAAAGACTCTGTCTGAAGAGTTGCTTGTGGCATTGATTACCTGAGGCTAACTCGCAAGACATCCACCACCATCCATGTTTACTTCGAGATCTATAGCCCGATTTTGTACAGTCCGGTTGGTTCTAGACCGTGAGGACACTGATTGGATCTTTGAGGCTGTAATTCTTCAGGGAGCCCTGGTGGCTTACGGGTAAGAACCTGAGCTGCCAATGCTAGAGAGTCAACTCTGGGTCAGCTCTGACGCAACTGCACACAACTCCACAACAATTCATTGTGTAAGGAGACTGCCCACCTTCCTGCCTCGGAGCAGAGCTGACAGTCTGAATTGATGAACTTTCTGCTAGCAGGCCAACACACAATGCATTATGTCACCAGGACCCCTTTAGACTTGTAGGAAGACTTGCTGAACACTGTTTCTGAACTGACTCTGAGTCTGTTGTTGTTAGATGCTGTTGAGTCAACTACGATGCATACTGATGGGATAAACAGTGAACCGGACTCTTGCCATGTCCTGTGCTCTCCGCATCGTCTCTGACGTACGTGACCATCGTAACGGTCACTGTGTCATCAACCCATCACTGAAGGTCTCCCACACTTTTTCATGCATCATGTCTTTCTCCAAGGACTAGCCCCTCCTAACAACATGCCCAAAGCGTGAGAAACGAAGTTACACCGTCCTTGCCAACAAGGATCACCCTGGCTGCGCTTTTTCAAGACATATTTATTTATTTATTTATTCATTCATTCATTTATTTATTCATTCTGTCAATGAATTATTCAACACTCTTCTCCAGCAATACAACTCAAAGGCATCAGTTTTTCTTTTTCTGTCATTGTCCAACTTTCAAGTAACAGAAAAGACCATAGCTTGAATCAGATGCATCTTAATCTTCAAACTGATAACCTTATTTTGTAGAACTCTGGAGAGGTCCTTAACAATGCAAAACGACTTCTGATTTCTTGACTGCTGGTGCTAAAAATGTCCATTGTGGATCCAAACAAGATTAAATCATTGACAAGTTCAATATTTGTCTATTCACTATGCTATTGCCTATTGAACCAGTGATGAAGAGTTTTAGTTTTTTGACACTGAAATGCAATCCATATTGAAGGCTGCAGCCTTTGATTTTCGGCAGCAAGCGTTCCAACCTTTCTTTGCTTTCAGCAAACACGTTGTGCCATCTTCATGATGCAAATTACTGATGAGTCTTCCTCTTCTACTGATGCCACAACCTGGGCACCAGAGCTCCCGATATAAATATACATATGTATGTGTGTGTATATGTGTTAGCATGTATGTGCATGATATTTATATAGTCAAAGTCTTTACCATAGAGTGGGAACCAATTCATAGTTGACCCAGTGAGTTTTCTGTGGGTGTAATTTACCCTGCAGGGGACTGCCTGTTTGTCTCATGTGAAGAAGCTGGTAGGTTTAAATGACCATCGAGGCTTGGCTTTGGGGTTAGCAGTGCAACTGCCCACAGACTACAGAACCAGAGCAGATCTTCATCCATCTATCTGTCTGTCTATCATCTATCTATCTATCTATCTATCTATCTATCTATCTATCTATCTATATCTATCTATCTATCTATCTATCTATCTCTGCATCATCATCATCTATCAGTGTATCAATTATCTATGCACCTAATTAATTATCTATCTATCTTCTATTATCTATCTATCGTCTATCATATCTATCTATCTATCTATCTATCTATCTATCTATCTATCTATCTATCTATATCTATCTCTGCATCATCATCATCTATCAGTGTATCAATTATCTATCTATGCACCTAATTATCTATCTATCTATCTAATCTCATCTCTCTATCTGTATCTACCAACAGTAATAAATTCTCACAGCTCAGATTGTTCTCTAAGGGTGCTGGTCTCACTCCTCCTTGTTTCACTGTAAGAATGCACCTTATTCTTTATGACCATGGTTGAGCTCATCATCACATTCCCTTGCCTGCTTCCTACCATGGGCGTCAGTCCTAGCAGATGTCAGATGTGTCGGGTAGGATGTGTCTGCTCCACACAGGGATATGGCGCTGCCTTGGGGCCAGAGGCTTGGCACACCACTTAAACCAGGCACCCGATTTGGCAGCCTGGCAGACCTGAGCAAGGTCCAGGCAGGCGAAGCAGAACTCCACGTGGCACCGTGAGCACACGATGTACTTGCACTTCTCCTTGTGCTCGATGAGCATCCCGCACGTGGGGCAGGCCCTGATGGACGGACAGCCTTGGATCTCGCTGCCCGGGAGGTCCTTGGTGACACAGGAGGCCAGGGTGTCCAGGCTCGGATCCCTGCAGCCCACATTGTCACAGCGATCAGAGGGCTTGCCCGCCCCCTTCCAGGCCCGCAGACACTGCCAGCAGAACTCGTAGTTGGTGCAGATTATGCAGAACACGCGGATGGTGGTCAGATCCTTCCTCTCCACCAGGCTTTTGCATCTGGGGCACTGCGGGAGGAGGGAGGGCAGGGGTCACTCTCAGGGACCACAGGACGAGACGTCCAGCCCCAGCAGGGCAGTGACGAGGCTGTGGAGCCCTTTGTCCAGATCCCACATCACAGAGCTGGAACCCACCTGGTGAGCAGCACAGATCCCACAGGCTGGTCCCTGTGAGACCTTAGACCTCTCTCCAGGAAGTGTCACACTTACCTCTTTATAGTCACAGTAGAGTTTTGCCGCCATCAGGGCCAGTTTCTGCTCAAATTCTCGCTGCTCGGTGTCACTCAGCACTGCACAGCGACGCACCTCCGAATAAGGCCACTCAGCCCCACACTTGTCTTCATCGACAACAGCTGGGCAGTACAACTTGAAGTGGCCCTGGGAGGCCAGGCAAGGAGTAGACTATTTAGAACAACCTGGCTTACCAGGTCTGCACATCTGCAGACATGTCTATCCCATCCCATGTATAAGTGGCCAGGCAAGACCCTGTTAGCACGTCCCTAACCTTGCTCTGCTCATTGGCATCTGACATCCTCTGGATTCTTGGGGGGTAGTGGTGGGACACTGCACTTGACCTTGTGCTGATTTTCATGGGAAAGCCAATGCACTCTCTTTCTGGGCAGAGATGAGTCCTGTGTTGGACATGGGAATAGTCCTGACCCAATGGGGCTGGAACCAACTTCCTCCAAAGGAGAGCTGAGCTGAGCCTCCCTTCCAGATGCACACGTAGACTCTCCTTCCCCACCTACGTGGCTGTGACCTTGGCTGAGCAACCTCACCTGGTCCATCAGGCTTCGGCACCAGGCTGTCAGATTCCCTGGGTCCACAGCATGGCCACAGCTCATCTGCACCCTCTGCTGTCCATCGTACTCATCTCCTGTAAGGACCAGATACTTCTTACCAACTGCACTGCCCGCTGTCCACACTTGGATGTGTGTCTGAGCCAGTAGGTACATCAGCCCTTTGCCATTGTTCTCTCATCTCACCTCAAAATTCTTCTTGACCCAAATATATCGTCTTTCCCCCATTGGACAACCAAGAAAACTGGTGATTCTGAAGGTAGAGCCCCGTGTCCATCTGGGCAACATCACCAGTACAGGGTGGGACCTGCATCCTGTTAGCTGCTGCTCCCCCCGCAAAGTTAGCTCTGTGCTTAGTCCTCACTTCCAATCCTGTCCCTGGCCACCCTCCAATGGCCTGATCAGCCTCTGTCCGTGATGACCGTGAACACCCTCCTCCGGTCTCCTGGCTGACCACTGCAGAGCTTCTGCAGTCCTAGACGACGAGGACCTTGCTGTGCTGTCTCTCAGAGTGGACATCCAGCCCAGGCTGTGTGCTGCCCCCTCTCCTCAGTGAGGAGCTGTGGAGCTGACCACTCAGAGCAGATCCTTGTCCCCACTTTAGGGCAGACACCTCACCAGAAAAGGACAGGGGTCTCGCCACCCCTCCAAGGGTGATCTGTGGAGCAACAATGATGGGCAGCACAGGCTCCCTCAAGTCTCCCCTCGTCAACCAGGTGCCTCTGCTACTCCTCACCTTGGGTGTGAACTTCTGGCTTTCAGTTCTTCCTGATTTCTCCCACATCCTGCATGTCCTGACCGCTAACCCTCTCTCCTTGGCCGGGTTCCTGCAGCCACCTTCCTCCCAGAACTGAGGTGATCTCACTTCTGCCTTTTAGCTCTCAGTGAGGGCAACAGAGTGTGTGGCCTCCTGAGGAACCTCACAGCTCTCACGCTGACTCCCCCTCCCAGCCCATCTCCTGGCTCTAGTTCAGGACCTGCCATGTTCCGGCTGCATCCCTCTAACAACCAGCGCAGCTGCCCCAGGAAGCCAGCTGTGGCCGGGTTGGTGGGGGGAGGGGGTGCCCAGATATCAAGGTGGTTTCCATCTTCAGGAACTGAGAGCGAGAGGTCATCTTCTCAGATCCAAGTCTGACTGAAATGAGGACCCTTGGCCCAATACCACCCCTTCTTGTGTGACTTCCGTTTGCTAAGACTGCCCACCACCCACCCACACTCACCAGTTATGTCGTCGTTTCCACACACAAACCTGAGTGGAGGCTCGCTGTGGGACTCCTCCGCCTTGGACACACTCGTCTTGGGCACAGAGGTCTGTAGGCTGCACAGAGGGACCTACTTGTCCTCTCACACCCTCCTCCCACTTGCAGCCCCACCTCATGACCACCCTGTTTGGCAGGACACCTCTCCCTGCAGCTGAGGAGGAAGCTGCACTTCAACTCCTGATCCTAGGCTCCAGGGAACAAGGCTCCGCCCCGGCCTCTGAGGAGGCACCTGAGTGTGGACCCAGAGAAGATGCTGCAGGACTGCAGGCTCAGAGGCAGGTCTTTCCTCCTCATTGGGGCACAGCTGCCACGGGACCTGAGGACCACAGAGTCCCTCAGTCCTTCCTCCTCTGGGGCAGAAAGGGTTGGACAATGAACAGTCCCACCTGGCAGAGACCCTTTGTCTAAAGCATGGAAGGTGATCAGCGCCCCCACGGAAGGGTCATCGATAAGGCTCGACAAGCAAGGGCCTGTCCTGGGAGTTGACAGCACCCTGCGCCCTGTCACAATCTTAGGGCTCAACAGAAGCATAGATAGCAGGCCCGATTCAGTGGAATTCAAGGAGGTCACTGGAGGGGTCCAGATTTCGACCAGACAGTGTGGGGGCTCTGGTGGCCTCAGGGTAAGGAGCTGCACTGCCAACCTGAAGGCACGTGGTTTGAGTCCACCCTGGCCTGGCCTTGCTTTCTGAGGGGCTCTGAGGGTCATGCTCAGAGCTGCTCTCACGTCTTTCCTGCACCAGTGAGCAAGCTCAGGACAGCAAGGAGGGACTTGCCAGAGAGCCCTGGACCATCTGGAGATCAGGCTGTGAGCCCCTGCTGGGGCCCAGAGCCCCCTAATGAGTGACACTTGACAGATGGATCCAGGTAACTGCAGCCCTGGGTAACCTTGCAGCCCTTGAACGGTGAGCACCCTAGGGGGAGGGCAGGGCCCATGGAGAGAGGGTGTCTGGAGACCACAGAATGAGGACTAATATTGGGGTCTCTCAGGAGCTGGGTCTTGCACAGGTTTAAGGAGACATAATGGCTACTCTGTTATTCATCTTTTTGAAGCATCTCTTTCCTTCAAAGAATGACTGTTACTTTCTTAATGAGAAACTAATCGAAAGTGGGGAAAGTCCCCAGGGAAGAAGTATCAGGCTCACAGCTGGCGTGCTTGCAGTGCTGAACTTCGGGGCAGTGGAGCTAGTCTGGCGGGCACCCCTGACTGTGCAGCGGGCCTGTGATCCCTCCGTCGGTACATGAGCAGGTGAGCTGTTCTGTGTAGACCGGGAAGAAACAGTGTAAGGTCACAGAACAGTGTGCAGCCAAGGAGCCGTTAGGGGTCATGCGACACAGGATAGTGTAAAATCATGGACAGTGTGGGGTCATGGACAGTGTAGGTTCATGGACAGTGTAGGTTCATGGACAGTGTGAGGTCATGGACAGTGTGTGGTCATGGACAGTGTGGGGTCATGGACAGTGAGGGGTCATGGATAGTGTGGGGTCATGGACTGTGTGAGGTCATATACAGTGTAAAATCATGGACGGTGTGGGGTCATGGACGGTGTGGGGTCATGGACAGTGTGAGGTCATGGACAGTATAGGTTCATGGACGGTGTGTGGTCATGGACAGTGTGAGGTCATGGACAGTGTGGGGTCATGGACAGTGTGGGGTCATGGACAGTGAGGGATCATGGACAGTGTGGGGTCATGGACAGTGT